GGTTTTCTTGGCTTTTTATCCCCAAACAAAATTTATTTTATCCAAGGAAAAACAAAATCAGAGGTTCTCTGGTTAAATTGAGGGTGGGGGGGGGGTCTCTGTGCTCAGCTTATTTGGCAAACCCTTCCTATCTTCTAGGGCTAGGAGAGAAATCTTTTGAGTGTGACAACCAGTTTGGTGATTGATAGAAGAGACAACCTCTTAAGGTAGGATAGGAAGGTTAGGGGTAGCATAAGAAGTCCAGGAGGTAAGGCTGTAGCCCACTGGGGTTGGTGTGTGTGTGTGTGTGTGTGTGTGTGTGTGTATGTAGTTGTGTGTGATAGAATTTTGACTAAATACTGTGTTGGGGTTTTCCATTCAGCTGAGGTCAACTCAGCCTTTCTGCTCAACATTCATCTCAATCTTCCTTCCTTTTTCAGTGGTTCCTTGGCAATTTCCTTCACACCTTCTCCTCTTCTCAGCCTTGCTACAGGGCCCTAAAGCTCCTTCGAACAAAGTTCACCTAGCTAAAGTAACCGCTGCTGTATGGCTAGCTAATTGTGTTTTCTAGAGGTTCCAGTGCTCTATGCTCCAAGCTCTTGTGTGGCTTCCTATCTCTCCAAAGGTCCTCTCCCTTATGAGCAGTGTTTTCCAACTTTATCACTGTTACAGGATTCTTTGACAATCTAGTAAAAGCCCCAGATCTCACCCGGAAAATACACATTGCCAGTGAGACAAGGGGAGGGGTTTAACTGGAGAGAAACATGAAGAAAAATCCTGCATCTTAATTTAGGTGTTGGTCACATACACGCACACGTACTTGCATGTACACATTGGTCAAAGCTCTTACACTTAAAGATCTATATGAATTATCCCTTCATATAGAATATCTTGTACGTAACTTAAAAAGAAATCAATTAGTTGCTGACATTTGACATTATAACATTTCTTAGAAGTTACAGATTTCTGACCACAATGGCCTGTTTTCCCTCATAGCAGCTGTCAACTAGAGCTTTACTAGGCATGGGTGGCTGCTGAGCACTTAAATGTGGCAAGTATGAATCGAGGTGTACAGTGAAGGTAAAGTATACACGTTGAGTTTGAAGACAGTGTGCAAAAATAATGTAAAATATTTCATATATATGTATATATATATATATATATATATATATACATGAAGTTTTGCTGGTGCTGGGGATCAAACTTGGGGCTTCATGCATGCTAGGTAAGCGCTCTACCACTGAGCTACATTACCAGCTTTCAGTAATCATTTTTATGTTGACTATGTATTGAAATGATATTAGGTTAAGATAATCAAAATTCATCTTACATTAAAAGTTTTTTTTAACAGAATTGTAACTATTTATATAGCTGGTGAGGTAGCTCAGGAAAAATTTAGATTGCCTAAGAAACAAACTCCCTCAGATGGCCACCAAACAGCAAAAACATTGAAAACTTTCTTTTTTTTTTTTTTGTAATTTAAGGAAAAAATTTTTTATTCATTTATTCACATGTGCATACATTGTTTGGGTCATTTCTCCCTCCTGCTCCCTCCCTTCCAAGCAGAACCTGTTCTGCGCTTTTCTCCAGTAATGTTGAAGAGTAGAAATAAGCAATAATAAGAAAGACATAGCATTTTTACTAGTTGAGATAAGGATAGCTATACAGAGAGATTCCTAGCATTGCTTCCATGTACGAATGTGTTACAACCCAAGTTGATTCATCTCTACCTGACCTTTTCACTGGTTCCTGATCCCCTTCTCCTGTTGACCTCTGTTGCTTTACGGTTTCTTTATTAATTCCTCTAGAGGGGGACATCAAATGCTTTCATGTTTTGGGTTTTCTATCTAACCCTGTACCTCCCGTATATGTTCTCCCCTTGTCATGTGACCCAAGTCCTACAACACTACTGTATTTGCCCTAGATCTAAAGTCCACATATGGGGGGGGAACATATGATTTTTGGTCTTCTGAGCCTGGCTAACCTCGCTCAGAATGATGTTCTCCAGTTCCATCCTGAAAACTTTCTTGAAGGTGCCATTTCCCTTAAGCTTGGGAGGCATCCACCAGGCCCCTCCCAGAGGCAAATGATTCTGAAGAAATGCCACAGCCAGAGCAGGAGAATCTGTGAGGTGACAATATCCTGAAGGGTATATCTTGTCCCTGTTTAAATCCTGGTATAGCTGTCAATATTCATAAAACCACAGTTGTATTTTGTGATGTTCCCTGGAGTAATCTTTTTTTAAAATAAGATTTGAACTCAGGACTTCGTGCTCTACCTCCTGAGCCACATCCCTGTCCTTTTTGCGTTAGTAATGTTTTGAATAGGGTCTTGTGTTTTTGCTCAGGACTAAGTTTAGAACACCACCCTCCAACCTATGCCTCCCGCTTACCTGGAATCACAGGCATGTGCCATCACACATGGCTTGTTGCGATGGAGTTTTGCTAACTTTTTCCTGGGCTGTCCTCTACCAGAATCTCTACCTTCCAAGTAGGTGGGGTTACAGGCATAGCATGAGTTACCACACTCAGCTTGGAGTGGATTTTTTTTTTCTTGGCATAATGGGGTTTGAACTCAGGGCCTCAAGCTTGCTAGGCTGGTGCTCTATCACTTGAGCCACTTCACCAGCCCTTTTTTGTGTTGGGTATTTTCAAGATAGGGTCTTGTGAATAATTTGCCTTGACTGGCCTTGAACTGTGATCCTCCTGATCTCTGCCTCCAAGTAGCTAGAATTATAGGTGTGAGCCACTGGCGCCGGCTGGAGTGAACTTTTGAATGTGAATAAAACACTGATCAGGGAGCTTACAAATACTGAGCATCTCTTCCTTTTCTCCCCCAAGAAGTACTTGAAGTAAAGTCATCTCCTGCAAGACCAGGATACAAAGGATTTTTTTATGTGATCTTGTTCCATCTAACTAGACCCGTTGCTGACTGAACTGAGAGAAATATCTTACTGAGAACAGACCCATAGGATTGGCTTATATTTGATTCACCAAGACTCTGAGTTTCTTTTCTTCTCCTTTTTGCTTTTGAAATCCGTTCCTGCCTTGAGTGCTGGAGAGCTGCCCAAGGTTGGAAAACATTTAAACATTAAAAATGGTGGCCATTGTCTCTTTAGAGGACAGTCCTGGTTTAGCTTTCCAGATTGGTTCCTGTGTCTATGTCTCTTGGGCCTGTGGCTGATTAATCACATAGGGATTTATCGTATTGCCTGCTCCTTTGAATAAAATGTGGATATAGCAGCTAAAAATCAACATAATGTGTGGATCAGTGAACCAGGGGCCTTCTTTGCCTGGGAGCTAGTGTACTTGCTGTTGCTAAGGTGTTTTCTGGCGCTAGCACAGCATCAATCATTGGCAGTGCAGCTGTGTTTTTGGAATGGAGGGCTGATGGAAGTGTGAAGCACACTGAGTGTTAGCCTGAACAATGCCTACAGATGCAAATCATTATGCGTAATCCATAACAGTGTCCCCAGTTGAGTGGCTCTTTGTGCTACAGATTGTGTGTGATTTGCTGTCCTGGGAGCTAAAGCATGCCAAAGCATCATTTCTATGTTTGGGATAGTTCCATCAGAAATTTGAAAGACAAGTAAATACACCTGACTTGCATTTCAGCACTGTCGCATTGTGAGTGGCTAATGGTTTTATCATTAGACTCTTGTTGAACATCAGATTGATTGATCTGACTTGATAACATTTTTCTCATGTTACAAAAAATAAGCAGAGATTGAGAGACCCTGTAAGCTTGTCCGTAGGAATGAAGGACCTTAATGTAGGGCACTGGTTAAGAACCAGCTTGGGTTCAAACTGTGGCTTGCCTGTGGATGAGCTTTGTGATATTGGGGACATTATTGAGCTCCTTCATGTCCATTTCCACATCTGTAAATAGAGCTTATATTGATAACTTTATTTATTTTTTTGGTGGTACGTGGATTTCAACTCAGGGCCTTATGCTTACTAGACAGGCGCCCTACCACTTGAGCCACTCTTCCATTCTTTCTTTTTGCTTTAGCTATTTTTCAGATAGGGTCTCATGTGTTTGCCTGGAGCCAGACTTGGACTGTGATCCTCCTACTTACACCTCCCTCTTAGCTGGGATTACATGTGTATGCCACCATGCCCATCTGTTGGTTGAGATGGGGCTCTCACTAAGTTTTTGTCCACACTGGCCTCTATCTGTGATCCTCCCAATCTCTGCCTCCCTTGTAGCTGGAATTATAGGTGTGTATCACCATGCCTAGCCCCACCAATGATAGTTTTATCTTGCAGAGTTGTTCTGAGGATTAAATGAGTTAATATCACAGTTCCTTAACATTGTACCTAGCATATTTAAATGTTTATAAGTTTTACTTGCTACCATTTGTCACTTACTATTATATTTACACAATTTCACATTCTTTTTCTTGGTGCTAGACAAAGGGTTAAATGGGAGATCAGTCCCAAACCCGGATTTGTTCTATGATGATTCATCAGAGTTGAAAAGCGCTAAGCCACAACACCTTGGTTAAACCATAGTGTTTCCTATTGTAACATCGTTATAGGAACCTTCATTGTGCCCAAACTGAGATTTAATCTATATTTAGTGGTTTGAAATTTTTCCTCAAGAATGATTCATCTTTTGGCCATTGAGTTCCCTTTTTTGCAGTTTTTAAAAAAATTATTGTTGTACTGGGGGTACATTGTGACATTTAACAAAAGTGATTACAGTATATCATAGTTGAAGTCACCTCCTCCATCATCCTCCTTTATCCATCCTCCCCCCATTCCTGGAATAGTTTCAGCAGGTCTCATTGTTCCATTTTCATACATGAGTACATAATATTCCACCATATTCACCCTCCTACACCCTTTGCTTATATCCTCCCTCCTTCCACTGGTACCAACCCCCAGACAGGACCTGTTTTACCTTCCTGTTCTGTTTTTGAAAAAAGATATTTTTATTGGTTTAAGATAGCTACACAGGCAGTTTCTGCAGCTTTAAAATAAAACCTCACTTGAGCTTTTCTCATTCTGGTCCTAAAGAATTGCCTCTGCCTCGCTTTATGATGTCAAAGAATGATGGTGACATACGATTCGGTAACCCACCTGAGCTTCACGGAACTAAGGTTCAGATTCCATATTTAACCACGGAAATAAATTCCTTCAAAAGAATGGACGATGAGGAGAAACAGGTAAAACAGTATGATTAGGCATGTCCATTTGATTCTGACGATGAGACCTCATGTAGCAGCTTACATGGTAAGGTAAGCTGTCAGCAAATCTTACCATCTGGAACACAATTACAGACTTGGAAGGGAGCTGGTAAAGTTTCCTTGTCATAAAAAGAAGAGAATGACATGTAAGAATTACCATGAGCCACCCATGGGCCCTTTAGAGCCTACCTTAGTGGAGAGTTATGTCTAAAATAAGACTGCCAATGTAATACACTTACTTGATTTCTGAAGGTTAGTGGTTTTCTAAATGTGATTCTTTGAAATGTAGCCTCTAGGAGTTAATAGGCCCTCTCCTCCAAAAAGAAGTCCAAAAAGTTTCTCTGGTTAATTATGTTTGGAGAAGTGGCTTCATATCCCATTTTTAGGGGACACACCAAATAAATTAGTCTTGGAAACTCATAGTGCATATTGACAGAGAAGCCCTACGGTACAGAGACCTGGAGATGTGTGTTTCCTAAACTTCTTTTATCAGGGATCCTTTCCTGGGGAACATGTTTGGAATGGCATCTTGGGAAATGCTGCTGCTACTCATTTAGCAGGTTTTGAACCAGAAAAGGGAAATAGGCTTTTAAAATTAGACCACTAAGTGCAGTAGTCAGATGGTGTTTAGTAGAGACAGAAGTATGAAATCCCACAGGAATGGGCCTGTCAAGAGGAAATGAATAGTCTGCATATTAGCAAACCCGAGAGCATCAAGGCACAGCTCATACTTCTGAGAAAGAGACTGAATCATGCAGACAAGTTAAGTTGTATTTGACATGGTATCTTCTATAAGGTACAGAAATTTGCTGGATTTTAGGAAGACTTCAGTCAAAAAAAATTTTTAAGTGCAATGAATATTAAAGGATTACATTGGAAAACTAACTTATATGGTTCACCCTGGATATCTGAGGTGTTGCTGCAGAAGTTTTTTGTTGTTGTTTTTGTTTTTGAGACAGGGTCTTGCATTGTAGCTTAGGCTGGCCTATAACTCGTGATCCTCCTGCCTTAGCCTCCTGACTGCTGGGATTACAGGTGTGTACCACCACTAATGGCTGAAGGTTTCTGTTTACAATTAAGGGAAGCGTAACACATTCTGTTAAAAAATCATGTATACTTTCAGCATTTGGACACATTTAAGCCAGTACTTCAGGGATATCTTAAAAGAGGGGTATGGAATTTTTAGTCACTATTCTTTGGCATGTCTCCCCATTAGCATTTGGAGAGGAGTGAGGATCCACTGTCCCACAGTGGGTGATGCCCTGGAACATTTCCAGATCCAGTTTCTGGCTGTGTGTATGAGGCTACATCCTTTCAAAACTGCAGGCTGGATTTGTGCTAGGTCCACCAGTTCTGTGAGTGTGAGCATACACTTTAAGCCCAATGTATTTTCCTTTATCTTGAAAAAGAATGTTTGATCAGTACCTCAGATTAAACTAAAGAAGCCAATGTAGTCTCTATATTATAAAAAGTACTGTTTCCTTATTACTTGTGTACCCCAAAGTAACCATTCTATTGGTAGTGTTAAAAAAAATAAGGAGGAAACCTGCAGCAGATCAGGTTGCTTACTTTGCTTAGAGTCCTGGGTCATGTTCATACTTGAATTGGGATTGAATTGTAGTCGTGAAGCCTTCTTTAGCCTCGTATTCAGGAATAGCCTAGTTGGAGTGGTTTACCCATATGGCATTGTTTTGCAGTTTAAAAGTTGACATTTAATTTGGCATAGTAAGCACCAAGAATATTTAGAACTAAGCATTTAAAATATAAATTTTATTACATTTTATTATATTTATAATGGTAAATAGGAAGTTTTTATTAATGAATGCAAATTGAATCTTTCCATAAAGAGATCATAGTTAAGGGGTATGAATGTTACACATGTGATCAGTGTCTTAATTTTCCAAAGGAAAATATTACTGGAATCACTAAAAGCATTTCAGGTTGGTTTTAGTAACTTAGCTAACTCAATACTGGCAAGACTTTATTCTCTGGGGGATTTTTGAATCCTCAGACACTGCCTTATAACTATGCTGCATTTTTGAGGAAACACTGTTTTTAATGAGCCAGGTCGCCAACCATAGAGTTCTAGAGTGCTTGTCTCTGAACTCTGCTCTGATTCTTTGAAGCAGGAAATGCAGTCTCCCACGATGTCACCCCTCGCCTCCCCTCCTTCGTCTCCGCCTCATTACCAGAGGGTGCCCTTGAGCCATGGCTACAGCAAATTGCGGAGCAGCACAGAACAGATGCATCCAGGTAAGTGACGACCTGGGGGCCAGCTGTCCTGGGCAGTGTCTTAGAGTCTCCTTAATCTACCAGGCACAATGTTACCAGCTGCTTAATTTCCTGATTTAATTACTCTTGACTTCAGAAACATGGCTCAATTTAATTTTATATTCTCAAGAAAAGGTTTTTTTAAAAAAATGAATTTAAACGTATGTCAGTAATGCTTTGTATCCTGTTCTGGAAACTAGTTCATCTGTAGACTTGTAAACAACTATTTAGATGATTTAATCTTTCATTTACAGATTGCATTACATGGAGACATAGCATGCTATGTCCCTTTTTGGGGAATTATTACTCCTTTCTGCTAACATCCAAACACATTTATATAATAATTGCTTTCATGTAATCTCTTTAAAAGTAAAACTATGCAAAAGGAAGAGTTGATTCAACCTTTCAAGACCGAGGACATAAATGAAAATATTGAGCTCTGTTTTTGTAGATTAAAGGTAAAGGAAATGCTAGGGGTAGCATTTTGCTGAGAAGCATGTAACATACACAGTTGTGGGGTTGCCTGCTTGCTCACCTTTGTGCTTCCTTGGCCATGTTAGTGGTAAAATAATGTTAGTTGGTTATGAGGATGACTTGCAGAGTTGGCTGCCCAGATTACAATGCTTAAAGCTCCATAAATTCACTGCAGTATCTTGTTCTTCTGGGGTTCAGGGTCCTAGTATAAGATATGACCAATGTAAGATATTTTTCAAAAAGGGCTTTTTATGGACTATGACTGAAAATGACCCAGTTTCTGCAGGGTTTAGCTGCATTGAAAAAAGAGGCGACTTTTAGAGGGTCACAGAAATAAAAATGTGTCCAAGCTGAACTAAAGGGAGGCTATAATCTTGCAGAGAGAAGCAGGTATGGCATGATGGAAAGAGCTCTGAATTGGAACCAGAAGGTGTGGGTTTCTGTGAGCAGCTGCATGTCTTTTTAATAGAGTCATAGTGTCCTAAGGATTCAGTGAGAGCATGAGTAGAAAATTTGTGTGGATATTAAGTCTTATGCAAATGCAAGAAGATGTTGCTAATGGATAGCAATAAAAAATCATTCTCTTGAAACTTTGATATCATCTTAAACTAAACAGGGTTGAGAATTCTTCATTTTCCTCTTATAGTTTACCTTGCCTGATTTCCCTATTTTTAGCAGTGGGTTTTTTTTTTTCAATTTCTAATCTTACTTGGGCCTGGAAGTTGATTTGTGTTTTACTTTATCTTTTGGTGGTACTGGGATTTAAACTCAAGATCTTGTGCTTGCTAGGCAAGTGCTCTACCACTTAAGCCACACCTCCAGCTGGAAGTTGATTTTTAATTCACAGGTAAATCAGTTTTTGTTTTACTGAGTCAGACTGTCATCAAATTCTACCTTTTATATTCCTTTTTTTTCCTTTTTCTTTTATTATTCATATGTGCATACAAGGCTTGGTTCATTTCTCCCCCCTGCCCCCGCCCTCTCCCTTACCACCCTTTTATATTCCTTAAAAAGTTTGTCTGTACTCTATTTCCTGCCCCATCCTCTCTTCTATCCAAAGTGGGTTCTCATTCCCATAGTGCCAAGGAGGCAGTCTACTTCTCTTTTTTTTTTCTGGACTCTCAGGAGCCTATGCCAAGGCTGTTTAATGCCCCCACTGTTTTTGTACTTTATTTTTGGTACTGGGGATTGAACTCAGAGCCTCAGGCTTGTTAAGCAACTGCTCTACGACTTGAGCCACAACCCTAGCCCCTCTTTTTGTACTTAAAAAAATGAGATAAAATATATGTACTATAAAATGCACGTATTTATTTATTTGTTCATTCATTCATTCATTCATTTGGGCAGGGTCCTACTATGGTAATCCAGGCCGACCTTGAACTTGCTATGTAGTCCAGGCTGGCCTCAAACTGGGTCTTCCTTGGTGTGCATCACCACACCTGGCAGATACACACATTTCAATCTTCATTGTAAACTGTAACAAATGGCTTATGCCCATGTAGCCACCACTTAAATAAAAAATAGAACATTTCTGTTATACCAGAGATGCCCCTTCTCTAAGTCACTCCTTAACCCTAATTGCAAGTACTGTTCTGATTTTTATTACCATTGATGAGCTTTGCCTCTTTGAGAACCTCATACAAGTGAAAATATTCAGAATGATTGTTCTCATATGTCTATCATCTTTCCCTAGAATGATTGAAGTTTATCTGTATTGTTGTATTGGTAGTTCCTTTCATTTTATATTCAGTAGGTTCCGTTGTTTGAATGTATCACAATTTGATGATCATTCTCCTGTTGGTAGACATTTGAGTTGTTCAGTGTTTGACTATTATTTTGCATTTCATTTGGGAGGAATGAGAGTCAAGGAAATAAATGACAACCCTACCTTTTTACCTCCCCCTGCCCCAAGTTGAGATCCAACTGAAGAATAAGTCAGAAGTCAGGCTGATGATGGCCTGAAAATTGGCTTTGTCTCTCGTATAGCTGGTTGGAATATATGTCTTAGATACGTGCCTGAATTGGCTTCTGACACTCACTTTCCCAGTCACAGGCAGGCTTGGTCATCTCAGGGTTCTCCCTAAAGTAGAAGGGGAAAATGTACCTCTCTAAAGTGACTCCACATGCAGCTGAATCTTCATCCAAACTTTACTGGTGCAGTATGTCTCTCTCTTTAAGGGAAGGCCTTTGTACATGAGGAATTGTAGCTGAGGGCCAGGTGGTGATCTCTGACCCCGTGTATCACCTGCCTCTTAAGAGAAGTATAGGCATATGGAATTTGTGGGCTTTGCTTCCTGGGCAAAGCTCATGATGACTAGGATCCCACTGTGCTTCAGTTTACTGTGTTTAAAATCGCTTGTCAGGGTGCAGTTGAATATCAAGAGTTTAATTTGATGTTCTATCAACATGAAATGATTTCAAAAAACCCTACTTGTCAGAAGACAGTGCCTGTCTACCAGCTGAGATTTGGATTATGCACTCTCTATGTATGTTTCTTTTGTAGTTTTTATATTTGTCTCCATTCTTAGCAGGTTCTGAAATCCACTTCATACTTTGCCTGGCAATCATTTTGGTATTTTAAAGTCTGTTCATATGTTTTAATGTGTTATAATATGTGTTCCAGTTGCTAGGAAGAAATACAAAATGCAGATGTGAGCCCAAGAGTGGTTTGCTGGGTGTGCATGTGTGTGTGCGTGTACGTGTGTGTGTGTGTTTTCAGACAGGATCTCACTATGTAGTGCAGGCTGGTCTCAAATTAGTGATGCTCCTGCCTTAGCCTCCTGAGTGCTGGGGTTATAGTCATGCACCACCATACCCAGCTGTTTTTTTTTTTAAAGGGCTACAGCACATGGTATTCCCAAGTAATCTCAAATCCAGGTACTAATCAGGCCCCACCCCCACTTAGCTTCTGAGGTCAGATGAGATGGGGCATCTTCATTAAGGTATGGCTGTAGACCGGTTTATTGTTTTTGATGTGCTGTTGATGTACCTTCTTTATTTGAGAAAGATCAAAGCATGCTATGAACATGGTGCCATAACAGGCTGCTCTGCTCTCCACCTACTTTTATTTATAAGTAAGTCACAGGAAGAAGCATTCTACATACTTACATACTTTCTAGTCCTCAAACATTAGCCCACAGAGATGTGTAAATGTTTCAAGTTGGGTGAGAACTTCTTTCTATTGGAGTGAGCTGAATACCACATGGTTATGTTTAACTTTCTTCTATCATATTGGCAAGGTCATTATTACATGTTCTGGAAATAAAAGGAGTAAAGAAAAACCATTCATTTTTGTGACTTGGGAACTTTTTAAAAATATAGCAAAATCATTTAAAAATAGTTTGGTTATTGAATAGTAAAATAATAAATATAAGAAAGTTTATTCTTTTGTATTTTTCTCTACTTTGTATCGCATTCTGTACAATGAGAAGATAATATCATTTATTTAAAAAATAAATGTTAATGTTGATTCTTAGTGTTCAAAATGCATTAACTTTCTTTGGGGGTTGAACAATAAATGGAAGACATGCAAATAGGGTAATATTTAGAAGCCACCTTAGGAATAGGGGGAGGGGAGGAGAAAGGAGAATTATGGGGAAGGTGAATTCAATTATGATATATTGTAAGAACTGTAAATGTCACAGTGTACTCCAGTACAACGATAAACATGATCATAAAAAAGGTTTAAAAAGTTACCTTATGTAGAATTTGAATACTTCAAAAATGTTTAAAGAATTATAAAACTTTATTTCATTTTTTAAACAAACCTTAATTTTAAAATGGCTTCATTACAAATTTAAAATCTGAGGAAACTCCTTACCCCTCCCCACCAAAAGAGTTAATGAATATAGACTGCAGTTAAGGTTCTTTATTTAAAATGATAATTGTTTGAGTTGGGGGTGTGGCTCAAGTGATAGAGCACATGCCTAGCTCAGCACTGACCTCCAGAAGGAAAGAGGGCAAGAGAGCGAGTGAGCAAGAGCAAGTAGGAGAGAGCACAAGAAGATAAATTTTAAATAGTTTACAGATGATTTCCATAGGCATTAGTCTATAATAGGCAGAATACTCTGCTCTTCAGGCAGTCTAAGTACCAGGGTTGGTAAAGTAGTTTCTTCATCCAGAATTTATGTCTTAATTCCTGTACTTAATCAGGAGGGATAAAATGTACGTGGTCTACCAGGGGAAAAAACTGTTCTGGATCCCTGAGTTTTCCACTTGATGGGAAGTTGAATTTTTCTTTTCTTTTGAGTTTTTGGGATACACGGCTATTATTCCCTTTACTTCCCCCCCCCATAAGTGAATGTAAACTTTCTTTGAATATAGCATGAAATTAGTAAGTGACTACTGCCACCTGAATTTGCTGGTTCATGAGTGATTGAGCTTTCAGTAAGAATATCCCATGGGCAGTTTTGATCCCAAAAGAAGAATGAAGCTAAAGGAACTCAAAATCATCCCATAGCCCCCCAGTCACAACGTGGCCAGTTCATAGATAGAGTTTATAAGGCTGGAGTTGCTGGTTATTCAAGTAAGGCTTTTAATTCTGATCTGCAGTCAGTATTCATTATAGCTGTAGTCACATCCTTAAAACCACAAATGAACACAAAAAGCCTGGGGAGCCCAACTAACACACTAGTGATCTTCATCACTGTAGAGCTTGGTCCAAGATACCACAGGAAACAGTAGTAGAATTGGAATACTTTTAACATGGTACTTTCCTAGCTTCTCTCTCTCTCTCTCTCTCTCTCTCTCCCTTGTAATTGAGGTTTTCACTGTATTCCTGATACTGTATTCCTGATCTTAACCTGATGAAAATATTTTTCTGCTTTACCATGAATTAGTTGGATGCCTTTAGATTGGTTAGTGAAATTGTGTCCAAGAGGATCAGGGTTTGTCCATCCTAGGTGGCCCTATAAGCATATACTCTTAATTCCTTTGCTAATTAGTCTCTGAAAAGAAGATGCTGAATAAGTCTGAGTCTGAAGTCATAATTTTGGGGTGAAACCTTTGCATCCATGCTAACTTTCTCTCTTGCTGTTTCAGCTCCTTATGAAGCTAGACAGCCCCTTGTCCAGCCTGAGGGATCTTCATCAGGTGGTCCAGGAGCCAAACCCCTTCGGCATCAGGCTTCTCTTATCCGGGTAAGTGATGATGTGGGGCTGTGCCAATGAAGAGTAGAGACAAGATTTGGACTTTGAGGACATGGATCCCTGATGGGCTCTCTTTTTCATTGCAGGGAGGATATAAAACTACATCCTCATACAAACATTGCATTTCTTGTTCTGTTGCTTGTCTATTTTTCCTAAATCTCTTCTGTGTTTGTTTCTACCCTTTTCAGTCTCTGAAATAAATCAGAGCTGGTTCTTGATCTTTATTTATCTAATGTGTCCTTCCAGCTTCATCTACCTAATCAGTAGACATTTTTCAGCCTTTTTTTTGTGGTACTGGAGCTTTAACTCAGGGCCTTCACCTTGAGCCACTCCACCAACCCTTTTTTGTGTTGGGTATTTTTGAGATAGGGTCTCTTGAACTATTTGCCTGGGCTGGCTTTGAACCACAATCCTTCTGAACTCTGCCTCCTGTGTAGCTAGGATTACAGGCGTGAGCCACCAGTACCCAGCAGCCTGTCTTATCTTTGCCTTATTCTTTATTATTACTCATTTAATGCATAATTACCTGCTTTCCATTTGTTTTGTGCCTCCAATTATGTGGTAAGCCTTTGAAAGGCATCAGTAGTTCTACATTCTCTTTCAGTGTCCAAGACAATGCTATTTGGGTAACAGTTATTTTACAAGTGGCAGCAACTACTGTTTCTTATATGTAATAGATATAAAAACAATACTATGGCATAAGCACAGGTGATACCTGAGTTTCTCCTTAGACAACCTCAGCTTTCCTTTCTTCAGTGTTTTTCTCTGGCTAAAGAGCTCTTATATATATATTTTTTCTGTCTATAGCCATCGTCTTATATAATATATGTGAATTTTGTTGTGGGGAATCATATTATCAAAGAAAGGTGTGTGTGTGTGTGTGTGTGTGTGTGTATTTGTGTTTGCAGGGGAGAAACTACCAAAAACTGTTCATTGTTCAATACTAAAGACAAAAGGAAGTGGGGTGGTGGCTTGTATAACATTTCAATTGTATAATTCAGGAAGAAGGATAATTTATGCATAGGCGGGTCTACTCAAAATAGAAGAGTAGGGTCAGACACTCCCATAAAAAAGTGGGCTGCCAGTTTGGAACAGAATAAACAAAGGTCTGAGGAAGATCCTGAAGTTCACTGAATACCTTCTGGAGATGGAACACTGTGTTAGACGTGGAGCAGAACTTAATCTTCTAAGGTGTGCTCTATGTATAAAGAACGTTCTTTTTTTTGGTGGTACTGGGGTTTGAACTCAGGGCTTCACGCTTGATAGACAGGCGCTCTACCACCTGAGCCACTCCACCAGCCCCAGAGAACTTTCTTAAAGATAGTATTTCAGCCATATACGATGGATTTGTATTTAATGCTTCCTATAACCATAAGCTTTAGGTACTGCTAGCTCTGTTAGTATAGGTGAGTTGACTGGCTAAGAGAGGTCAAGCAACTAGTCTAAGGTTTCATTCATAATAAGTAAGCAGCAGAACCTGATTTTGAGTCCAGTGTCAAAACCTGCATTTTTGAGCTGGTGGAGTGGCTCAAATGGTAGAGTGCCTAGCAAGCTTAAAGTCCTGAGTTCCAACCCCAGTACAGAAGACCCTTTGTATCCATGGGTCTGTGGTTCCAAGGAGACCACCATTGAGGAAAAACTGCAAATGCTCAGGATGCATAGAGTTCAGCACTGTACCGTGGATGCTTGCTTCATTTTTGCCATAATGCTGCCCAACTTCTGCTAAAGACATGTCATGTTTCATTAGGTCTCAAATTCTCACTTTATCACTTCAGTTAAGCAGTTCACTTTTACCTTGTTTTTGGTGCACCATTTGCTTTTTGGGAGATATATTTTCACAAAATGGAAACACTCAATAGATCACACAATAATTTAAGCACAACTGATGATAATGAGGGACTGACTGAGAGCTTCTCTGCATCACCTGAGCTTCAGAATGTGTGTGTGGGAATTAACAATTTTTTTTTGCAGCACTGGGGTTTGAACTCAGTTTGCTTGCTAGGCAAATGATCTACTGCTTGAGTCACTCTGCCATCGCCCACCCCCTTTTATGATGAGTCTCATGAACTGTTTGCCTGGGGCTGGCTTCAAACCTTGAGCCTCCTGATTTCTGCCTCCCAAGTAGTTACTGGTACCCAGAAGCAATTTTTGTTTTTGAAATTTCTTTTGATTTTTAACTTATTATTTTTTGACCACATGTGGTCAAAACTGTGTATAGTAAATCCATGAGTAAGGTGGGCTTATTGTACCTCCAAAAACTCCTGTATTATTAATACTTTGCCCAGTTAGAGTCCCATATTACAACAAGGTTAGGTTCTAGAGTTGCTGTAATAAGAATTACTACTTTTTTCTCAGCACTGGGGATGGAACCCATAGCCTTGCACCTGTATCACTGAACTGTATCCTCAGCCCAAAAGTATTCTTGAAAATCCCTTATGGGTACCACATTGAAGAATCAAGATGCTATTTTCTCCTAAGGCCAACACAGCTCAATTTTATTCCCAGTTTGGAAAAGGCAGTTGTTTCTTCCGCTGAGCCCCAGATGTAGTAGTTGGCTGCATTAGAGATCCTTTAATACAAAAATATGTGCCTTTAGGCACCAGAATCATACCCATTGTGGAGGCATGTTTACATTAGAGAAGGCATTAGAAGGACTGGGATTCTTCCAAAACTCTCCAGGGAATAGATATGCAGGTTCCTGTAGAGTATGTTCTGTTTCTGCAGAGACCAAATACTGAATGGGTTGGGTGATGGTCAAACAGTGAATCCTGGGCTTTGCAGTGGTACGATGGGGGCTTGCTGAACCTTTTCTACTGAGCCCCCTGGAAGTAATGGGCATGATCATTCACTTGGATTGGTGCCTTGTGACTTCTTTTCTAATCTGTAGGTCCTCTTTTCTGCTGACAAACATGAGTCCTTTACTCAACTAATACTTAGTGAACACCCTGTACCTGCCAGGTAGTGTGTTGAGGATACAAAAATGAAGTAGCTTCTTGCCCTTATGGAGTTTTCAGGCTATTGGAGGAGATGGCTCCAAGCCAACATAAGAAAATATATAATTATTATATGTGATGTGAGTGGAAATTAATAGTGCATGTTGAAGATGAAAAATGAGGTTGGAGTATGACCTAGCCTGGACAGGCAGGGGCTGATCAAGGAAGACTTCCTGGGGAAGAGAAGTAAAATTTGAGTTGAAATGGGACGGATACAGAGGTGTTAACCAGGTGAGGGTGTGGCGATGGGGGCGGGGCAGACAAGAAGGTAGACAGAATTGCATATACAAAGACTTTGTTGGTGTGCTTAGTATTTTATATACATTAACTTTCTCAGTTCTTAGAACTATTTATCTTCTGAGGTAACACATATCTCATTTCTCAGATGACGAAACCTGAGGTTTAAATACCTTAGGTAGTTTGCCCAAGGTCATAGCTAGGAAGTGGTGGGGCTGGAGTTCAAACACTGGACACCATTCTCCAGTTGCTGGCTCAGGAACCAGATGGATGATGATGTCATCTGTTGAGTTAGGAAGCACTGGATGAAAAACTGGTGCTAGGAAAATCTGGTATAGTAAATTCAGTGTTGGATGTCGAGGACTGAGTTTTTGAATGGGTTCTATGAGTCTAGAGTTCTGGGGAGAGCTGAGGCTAGACATAGGTATTTGGCAGCAGTTGGCCATCAGAAAATCTCATGACAGAGTAAGAAAAGGCCAGACGGGTTTGACCTGGTCCAGCTTAACTCTGTGACCTGGGGTAAGTCCTTCTCTTTTTCTGTAGCATTAATGACTGGGAATGGAGGTAACAGTCCATTGTAACAATCTGCCACGGTCTGATTCTCTTAATGTTTGCTTGGTTCAGTAGAAGTTCTCCCACCTCCTGTTTGAAGCATGGCCTTCTGTTCAAGATAAGAGCAGGACAGCAGTCTGGTTTTCATGGTTCATGGATTTTTCTCTCTTCAGTTCCTTCTTTAGGTCTGTCACGTTGGTTTGGCTGGACTCCATGTTCCAGAAAGCAAAATGCCAACTTGAATTAGGTGTGGAGATGAAGGGATTTGAAGGGAAGGTTCTTGGTGATAGGGGGCCAGTGTTTATCAGGCATGGTGCTAGGCTAGCTGGGGTGACTAATACCTCTCGTGTCATTTTGTTCCTGTGCTAGTGGCAATCTGCTCTCTCTTCTAGCTTTGTTGTGGCCTTGTGTTCAAACCCTTCCTGCCCAATTAGAAGGGGGCTTCGTTTCTGAGTCCTGGGAGAGCTTTAGGGACTCCTGACTAGTCTTGTTACAGCTCATGGACTTGACTTAGTATTTTAGGGGCGCTCATGCCAAATTTAGTGTCCAAACATTGAATTGACTGGCCTTTTTGCTTAATATTTTAGGAATTTCACTGTTACTTATTTAGGTGTTGGATTGTTTTCTCTCTGAAATTTCAGGTACTAAGCACACTCTGTTGGTGGATAGTTGATACTGGTTTGTAAAGAAATTGTAAGTCTTCTTTCCTGTTTCATCTGGTATCAGGTGTTTAGAGGTCATACTGTGGTTTACTTTTCTGACAAGTTATCCTAAATACCTGGACTATGTAGTCATTTGTAATTTTGCTGGCATAGGATTTAGAACTACACCTTTAATCCCACTCTACTCCACAGTCTCTATTTTTGTTAGGGTTGCCAGAAACTTCCTTGTGTTAAGTCCTTTTTGTATTTGACTTATTGGCAGCTTTTGGCACTGACCTCCTTTTTGAAATGTTCTCATTGTTTCTTGTCTATGATGTCATACTCTCTTGGTATTCCTCCTATTTCTGTGGCTTCCTCTTCCTAATTTTCTTTTCAATCCTCCTTCCTCTGCCTCCTCCTAACATGTTAATAACCCCTGGGATCACTTCTTACTTTATTTGTTCTTTAGCTACATAGAGTCTGATGACTGTGTTTTTCCATCTGCCAGACATCCTCCCTCCCTCCCTGCCTCCCTTCTTCCCTTGTTCGAGGTACTGGAGATTAAACT